CGTTCGAGGCTCGTTCTCTATCAAACAAGATAGAAAATCGGGTTCATTTTCTAATAAACAAGTTAGAGTACCCGAATCGTACTCTAACAAGTAAGTTAGAAAATCAGGACCGAATGATTTTCCAACTCTCGCCCGCTTACTGCGTCTCGGCTCGAGCTCGGGTTCTCTCTCGGATTCCCCACTATCATTATCCATAGTTTCGTCAAACGTTCGTTTTGACGTACTTGGTCCCTCGTTGGACCTACAAGGAAATATATTTTCGAAAAAATATGCATTCCTTGATTCTATTATCGTGTTCTCGTGTACATCCGGATTATTGGACTCGTGTACTAAGAACCGATAAGCACTATTATTATGTGCATAGCCAATAAAGATACAGTCCACCGTCTTAGGACCTATCTTTACTTTCTTAGGCGTTGGCACCAAAACTTTGGCAAGACACCCCCACACTTTCAGGTACTGGTAGGAAGGTTTCCTACCGTTCCACAGCTCATAAGGAGTCTTATCGAGCTTCTTTCGGGGTACCTTATTCAAAAGGTAGTTACTTGTCAAAATCGCCTCACCCCAAGCATCTTGAGGTAGGCCCGAACTTATAAGCATCGCATTCATCATATCTTTCAATGTACGATTCTTTCGCTCAGCAACACCTTTCGATTGAGGTGAGTAAGGTGCAGTACGCTCGTGTATTATACCTACACTTGCACAGAAGTCACCAATAGGTGCTTCGTACTCACCACCTCTATCGCTTCTAACCTTCTTAATTCTCCGATTAAGTTGGTTTTCCACTTCATTCTTATAAAGAACGAATTTATCAACGGCTTCATCTTTGCTCTTAAGCAAATACACATAGCAGTATCGTGTGCTATCGTCGATAAATGTGATAAAATACTTATTACCACCTCTCGTTTGTATTGATCTAAAATCGCACAAATCACTATGGATTAATTCTAGTGGTTCAGTTTCCCTTTCAACCGATTTGAAAGGTACTTTCGTTAGTTTTGCCTCAACACAAATTTCACACTTGTTATTTGTGTCAATTTGAAAGTTAGGAATATGGTCCATGCTAATTAATCTACGCATAGAATTAAAATTAACATGACCTAGTCTACCATGCCACAAACTGGAAGACTCAAGCAAGTAAACAGAATTAACTTTGCTTTTATTGATAACAGGAATTACACTGAGCTTAAAGAGCCCATCAGTTACATATCCTTTACCAACAAACATCCCTAACTTGGACAAAACTACATTGTCTGACTCGAACACCATGCGAAAGCCATGCTTGTTCAACAGAGAGCCAGACACAAGATTCTTCCTCAGCTCAGGAACATACAGCACGTTGTTCAACGTTAGTTCCTTCCCGGAAGTCATCTTCAGAACCACCTTGCCCATGCATTCCACAGCAGACTGAGCAGAGTTTCCCATCCACACCTTTTCACCCTCAACGGTCTCAAAGGTGTTGAACATCTCTCGGTTGCAACACAAGTGCCTAGTTGCACCGGTATCAATGAACCATTCACGAGGGTTTGAGCCCACGAGGTTCACTTCGGTGACCATAGCCGAAAGGCTAATCTCGACCTCCTTCTGACTGCTATCTCCAACAACATTGGCTTCAGAACTCTTGTTCTTCTTCCTTGGAGCCTTGCATTTAGATGCTCTGTGGCCATGCTTGCCACAATTGTAGCATTCACCAGGAAACTTGTTCTTGGTAACGCCACCTTTCGGACCTAGCTTTCGCTTGTCCTTCTTGTTCCTCTTGGAGCTCTTACCGTGCTCCACAACGTTGGCCTTAGCGCCAACAACGATAGGAGCCTTCCTATCATTCGTCCTGTTCCCTTCCTCAATCCTGAGTCGCTGGATCAGGTCCTCCAGATTCATCTCCTTTCGCTTATGCTTAAGGTAGTTCTTGAAGTCCTTCCACCCTGGAGGCAACAAATGGATCACAGATCCCACTTGGAAGGCTTCACTTAGCACCATGCCCTCGTCACGGATCTCATCAAAGATTAATTGCAAATCTTCTACCTGACTTAGCACGGTCTTTGAATCAACCATTTTGAAGTCGAGGAATCGGCCAACTACAAATTTCTTTGAGCCGGCATCCTCACTTTGGTATTTATGATCCAAAGCTTCCCACAACGCTTTTGATGTGCTTATCTTTCGATATACATCATATAGCGTGTCACACAATCCATTTAGGATGTAGTTTCGGCAAAGGAAGTCCGAATCCTTCCAATAGCCAACCGCCATCACGGATTGTGCATCTTGTTCCTTCAACTCGGGAACACTCTCGGACAAGAACCTTGCCAAGCCGAGAGTTGCTAGGTAGAACAACATCTTCTGTTGCCACCTCTTGAAGTTCGAACCAACACCGGTGAACTTCTCCGGCTTTTCAGCCGAACCACTCGGTACCGAAGGTACCCGAGACATGGGAATATATCCCTCAGTGCTCCCACCATCTTGTGAACCAACGTTCACTGGTGTAGCTTGGGAATTAGCAATATTGTTGCCATTCCCTCCATTGTTATCCGCAACAACATTATCCTCCCCATCAATTGGCAGTACGGGATGCTCCATTTTTCTTCAAGGAAATTTGGAGAAGACCACCAACGGGAAAACAAATGATTAAGGTTTTAAGACTGTTGGTACCGTTGGTAGAAAACAAATAATAATCAAATAAAAAATTGACTATTATTTTCTGGAAAGAGGGGAAGAAAAATTGAAGAAATTGGCTAGTTTTTGGTGTTGGGTTTTTGCAAGAGTCGAGTGAGCACTCTCTCCTTAAAACCTTATTTGCCACCTCCCAAAGATGCTAGGAGCATTGTGGCCTAGGCTTCCCAGGATAAAACTTGCTATGATTCAGTGTTTGAGCATTCAAACAAAGAATCCGGCGAGCAAGACGTGGTTATGAACACAGTAGGCCAAGAAAGAGTAGAAGCAGAGAGGTTTTGAAGCTGAAAAAATGAACTTTCGTGTTCTATGTTTCTGTGTGTAAAACTCTACTGCCTCTACCCTCTCTTATATAGGGTTGAAGGAGCCAATAGCCTTTATTATGGCAATTAAAAATGACATTAAAGCTGCCTTCCAACAGCTATAACAGCAGGCCACTACCTGGGAATTGAATTCAGAATTCAAAATTGGAATTAATAGACAATTAATTCCGTAACAGATGAATTCAATCCCCTCAACAGTCAGAACTTTCGGGTTCCTGACCGTTAGCGTACAGGGTTCGGTCTCAACTTTCGACCTCATCCAGTTTCGGCCCTTGCACCTCTCGTGGACTCTGTTGCACGAGAGTTGTGCTCTCGGTGCACCACTACACGAGAGTACGTGGCTGTTGCACGAGAGTTGTGCTCTCGGTGCACCACAACCTCTCGTGCTCTAGGTGGCTATTGCACGAGAGTTGTGCTCTCGGTGCACCACAACCTCTCGTGCTCTCTTGTAGCACGAGAGTAGGTGCTCTCGGTTCGGTTCTGGCCGATGCACCACTACACGAGAGTAGGTGGCTGTTGCACGAGAGTTGTGCTCTCGGTGCACCACAACCTCTCGTGCTCTAGGTGGCTGTTGCACGAGAGTTGTGCTCTCGATGCACCACAACCTCTCGTGCTCTCTTGTAGCACGAGAGTAGGTGCTCTCGGTTCGGTTCTGGCCGATCCAAGTGGCTATACCAGTTGGAAAATGATACCGAAGTTTGGCATAACTTAGCCCTAGCCAGTTGGAAAATGATACAGAAGTTTGGCATAACTTAGCCCGCAAGGCCAGCCAATTTTCGGACGACATTCGTGCCCCCAGGTGCCGGCGCACACGAGCTCGGGCTTGAATCAAGCCTTTTTTAATCTCTGCTAGTTGGAATTTGATTTGCACCCCCCCCCCCCCCCCCTCCGCGCAAGAGAGCCTCTATGCTATACAATTCTACAAGCTTCAAAAGAGCTCTTGTATATAAGGGGGGAAAATATTCATTCCAAAGCAATGTGGGACAAAAGCACACTTTTTCCCTTCACTTTCCAACTCAAATGGGTCTACTTTGAGAATCAATATCTCATTCACCCATTATCCGTTTTGAGCGTACAATATATCGATCTCTTCGTCTCACTACGAAGAATCCGAATCCACTTTAACCCGACCCAAATCGGAAGTGGACCCCACTGATAATTGTACCACAAAATAGCCACTTAACATGCCATTTTATGCCATTTTAAGCTATTTTTTCCAACAAAAGCTTAAATCATCATTTCAGAAATAGTGATGAGTGACAAAAATTTGACAATATATGAAGGATTGCGTTTATACCTACCATATAACTCAATGAACTAATATGTTACTTTTTTTTAGAAAATTACTGACACAAATTTTTGTGTCACAAGAATATAAAAATAAAAAACAGAAAACATGTTTACTAACGGGAAATTTTTGGAAATTTTCGGAAACTGAAAAATAGAAAACAGAAAACATGTTTACTAACACAGTTTTCTATTTTGAAAACTGAAAATTTCTGAAAAACTGAAACACACTTAAAAACTATTTTCGTAATGGAAAACAGAATCATCTATCATCTATTTAGTTATATGTCACTATAACCAACTATGTCATTATCATATTATTTTACTTATCACGTACTATCTTCTATCTTTTCTACTTACTTTACTTATTTAAACATAATTTATTTGCTTACACTTTAAAGTTATACATTATTTACATTATCAAAATTAAGAATTAAACTCTATATAATGTTTTAGATTTTGATTGAACTCAATAGATTATTAGTTTGAATATTTTTAATTATGTTGCATTATACTACAAGTTCGGTCTAGATATCGAATATTGAAATCTCACATATATTAGAATTCAAAGTAAAAGTTATATATTCATATACATGTCATTCAAATGAAAACATCTAAAAAAAAATATTTTAAATATTAGCTCAACAAATATTAATATTATCTCAACTAAATTTTAGGTGAAAACTGAAAAATTATAAAAGAGAAAACAGAGAACAGTTTTTTGTTAGTAAACAAGTTTTCTAAACAGAAAACAGAGAACGAAAATTGAAAATTAGAAAACAGAAAACAAAAAACAGTTTTCTGTTAGTAAACGGACCCAGTCTCACTCCAAAATTTTTGTGGATCATGAATATTCTTATACATAAAGATTACAAGTTCATTTATTGTCAACACTTTTGGTCGAGCCCGTCTTACATGGTTTACCTCTTTTATGTGGTTTATTGACTATTAATAGGACCGGTGCATTCTCTCGGATAATAACAATGAAAAAAATGTTATGGAATTAGGTCAAAATCAAGCATAAGATCATCTCCAATAATTGTAATTTTTAAGGAGTTTTTGTAAGTGTGGCTAGAGAAGAGAAGAAGAAGAAGAAGATGATGATGATGATGATGATGATGATGATGATGATGATGATGATGATGATGATGATGATGATGATGATAATAATAATAATAATAATAATTTGAAAAGTAAAAAGAAAATAAATAAATAAATAAATAAAAACTCACCCTCACATGCACTAGGAAGCTTCCTTTTTTTGGTGGGTTTCATTTTTCCGGCAAAAATTAGAGACCAATTTTATTTTGTATCATCTCCATCTCTTCTATATTAGCTTGCTTTCCTTAAAAACCACACCAAAAATTATTGATGGGCAGAAGCCAGCCAAGAGTGATTAGTCATTTTCAGGTACTGCCTCGTTTACATACATTGTACCCAGAAAAATGAAAAATGTCTCATGAGATATCAAAATCAAGTGTACCGAAGATATAATTAAAAAATGGGGTGGTAACTTATGCTAAAGTCACATTGCAATCGTCCAAACTCAGATCATCAGATGCAGTACAGCTTAGAATGTTGGGATTGGCAAAGGAAAGGGAGAGCGACATAAGCTGGATGGATCGGAAAATGGAGATAGACGATGGGGAGTGATGAGGTAGTTGTTTGGGGGTGTCGAGGAAAACCAGCAGTTGTTGTGTATTGTATTGGGTAAATTTCGTTTTATGTTTTAGTTGGTAAAATTAGTTTATGTTGGCCACAACTAAAAGACTCAAATATAGAAGGTCAATAGATAGTTTTTATTAGAAGCTGAATTTGGAATTTTATGGTTATTAATTAAGTCAACAGTCTAACCAATTTAGTTGAGTTGTGGAAGTAGCTTCTTTGTTTTGGTATATGATAGTGTAAATACTCTCGGGTATACGGATATGAGTAAAAGTTATAGTATGAAAGCTCGGGTAATTAAGACCCAAAGTCAGAGGGTCCTGAGCGTATATGTACTCTAGAGAGAGAATGGCAAAAAGGTCCCTCCCCATAGCATTCAATGTGGTATTTATAGGGGAGGGAGGAGCCACATGTCGGGCTTCCAGCATGTCTGCCACGTGTTCCACATGCATTGAGAAGATTGACGGCTTTACAAATTAATACACGTGGATCGAATACCCGGTCCAAGGTTTAGAGTCAACGTGGAGCACCTGGTCCAAGGTTTAGTATATGAACTCTTCCCGGTCAGAATACCCAGTCCAAGCTTTAGAGTCAACGTCGAGCACATATTTCTCCATAGGTCAGGTCGGATTTCTTATTATGTCAGATTAAGGGTGTGTTTGGAAACCCGCGCCACTAGAAGTATATACGGAATACACAGATACGACTAGTTGTCTAGGATATACTCTCTATCTGTATATAATGTACATTATTATGCAATGGAGAGGGTTTCTAGGTGGAGCTGTCATTTCTTTTTTTTTTTTTTTTTTTTTCGTTTTAACATGTTTTTGTTTTGTACTGTGGCTTTGTCTGCCCAGTGTCCGACACCTGGGTACGTGAAGCCATGGCTCCGCCAAATCCCCTGCATTATGGTTATCATGTTCCCTTCCAATTCCCCTCTTCTCTCTATTCTCTAAGCTCCAATATAATTATATATACCCAACTCCAAATGCACGTAGGTGATGTGGTTCATTGTTTAATGATTAAATATATGGCAAGTTTGCCTTGCTACAAATCAATTAGTTGAGTAATCCAAAGTAAGGTTAATGTTTAATAGCCTATGAAAGCGGTTGATCTGTGGCAATAAGGTTTGGAGATAGAGTAAAACTTTGACTAACATTATATTTTAGGAAGTTTGTCACAATTTAATTGGTTGCTTGATTGATCCAAAGTAAGATTAATAACCTATTTTGTTGGTAAAAACTATGCGAGTAGTCGTATTATGCGATTTACTCATTCTCTATGATTCTAGGGTAAATGCGGCATGCGGGGTATTGAGTTTGAATAAGTGTAAATAACTTTTGATTAAAACTTTGTCAAATTTGTTCAGTATATAACTCAGTTGGTTAATCAATCCAAATTAAGCTAGTATGGTTAAAAGTAGTGTTGCCAAAATCCCGCCTAGCTATCGATTAATCGGCGCCTAGGCGCTAGACACTAGCCGACCGCCTAGCGTATCACCATAATCGGTGGTCTAGGTGGCTGCAGACTAGGACTTCTGAGCACCGTCTAGGCCTCCTAGGTGCCGATTAAGCCGCCTTGGCACCAAATAGGCCACCTAGGCACCGACTAGGTTACCTAGTCGGCCAATTAGATATTGTTCCCTTCTTTTTTAAATAGGTTATTTCACTCCAAACGCTGGTTACTAGCAAACTTAAATCAGTAAACTAAAGGTACAATTAATAGTCTTTTTTCACAAGAAACGTAATTAATAATTAGAACCATCACATTCATACTCTATGCCCTAGCTAGTTGGTCATGTAAAAAATTGGGCATCCATCCGGCTATGAAAATGACCTTACATGGTTAGTTTGTATAATGCGGTTGATGACAGGTGAGCAAATGTCGTCTCATTCCTATCAAACTCGATTCATAATTACAAAACTCTCATTTTTCTAGCTTCAAGCTTGTGGGCATGTCAGGCCTTTCATCGTCTTCCCTATCACGCCTGCTTTCTTCAATGTCCCATGCCAATTATTTCCACTCCATACAACCTTACTAAACTAGGAATGCACAATTCTTTTAAAGGAAAAAATTATCTATACACACATACCCATCTGGCTTTGTAGTCAAAGGTTGTTTGGGTGACGAGAGAAACCCACTGTGAATAGCCTTGCATTGTTACTGACAGGATATTTGGACAAAGTATTGGATCCGGTCCGGTGTGTCTAACCAATCAAAGCAGTCAAACAATGGTCAGGAGCAGAGAACATGTGAAACGGTTATAAGAGTCCACGCATTAACCGCACCACCCCATCAAAGATACGAGTCATGGATGGCAGTGTCACTTATTAGGAGGCCGTTGCTATCATTATTGTAACCGTTACATGTTTATAGTATAAAGGCTGACCACATATAGCAAGAGGGGGACATGCTCTATTTATTGTACACAAACCATAGCAATACAATTGTTTCTACTGTTTACTAATACATAAAATATAGCCGGTAAACATTATTACTGTCAGTTACTTTAGCTAGCAAAAGATCACACGGAGGTAACTAGTCTAGATTGTACATAATTGGCCGAGCTTAATCCAGAAAAGCTAATAAGCTGCTCTCACGAAAAGTCAAACTTGTAACCTTGTGGTTACCAAGTGAATAACATCAACCTAGAAAAACTGGGCTGCCTACTGATACCATACATATATACAAGATCTAACAATGAAACAAGACAGTAAATGATACGAGATTTAGGTGTATCAACTGTCGTTTAAGCTAAGGCTTCCACAAACCCTAACCATGGCTCCAAGATTAATGCAGGATTAAGGGGAGACAAGGAGGCATCGTAATCACGGTTTTGGGTTCATTTTAGCATGTGCCATGTGTTGTTGCTTAGCTCATTTTTCTTGGGTTATGGAGTGGTTAATTAGTTTACCCGTAATTAAGCTGTAATATGATCTTAATTGCCTCGATCACCTAGTGGCTAGTGCTCAACTGTTACAACAGTATTATTGTTTTTGCTGCATTGTGGAAATATATAATGATGATCTATGCGAATAAACCCACGTTTATGTCGGAAATGAGGTGCAAACAGTTAAACAGATCGAAGATTGTTGTCGAAAACGGTATCTTTAGCATCTGTCTAGCTTTTAACATGCAAAACCCTAGCAGTTAGTAATCCTATGTAGTACCTAGCTACTTATGCATATTTAATTACTAAGGGTGTGTTTGATTGGTGGGTTTTGCCCATAGGAATGGGTATGAAAGTGATTGTTGTTGTTTGGTTAATAGATTTTTATAACACTACTATGAGTTTCGAATACCCCATCAATTGAAAAACTCATACCCAAATAAAATAAGGGTTTCATTCCCTTATTCATTAACAAGCACTATTATTAGTAACCATTCTCATTCCACCCTACTGCCAAAATGTTAAATACTTTCACCAAAATTCATTACCATTACCAAGTATTTGATACTCATTCCGATTCTGATTCCTATGTGTGAACCAAACACACCCTACATGTCTTCCATCCCTAGTTTATAATTAGGGTGCTACATACTTATATTAATATACTTAGGGTGTGTTTGATTGGTGGGTTTTGCCCGTAGGAATAGGTATGAAAGTGATTGTTGTTGTTTGGTTGATAGGTTTTTAGAACATTACTATGGGTTTCGAATACCCCATCAATTGAAAAACCCATACCCAAATAAAATAAGGGTTTCATTCCCTTATTCATTCTCAAGCACTATTATTAGTAACCATTCTCATTCCACCCTACTACCAAACATGTTAAATACTTCCACCAAAACCCATTACCATTACCAAGTATTTGATACCCATTCCAATTCCGGTTCCTATGTGCGAACCAAACACACCCTTAGTTATAATCCGCGACTAAATTAATGTCCAACACGAAAATTAAAATAAGTAAATACTTAATTAGTACACATTTTAAATATTAAATCATTAACATAAAATAAAAATGATTTCCTAATAATTTTCATATTA